ATGATGGACACTGAAAGGAGTCCAGGGCAACATCTGAAGGAGCTTTTCTTGGTGAGGGTATCCTTTGCACCCATGCTGAAACCATAGCAGGGGAAGTGGGGGCACATCACCACCGTGAAACAGGCAGCAGACTTGAGCCAATAAGTCAGGCACCTTGTCTGTTCTCTCCCTGGTTTCACTTCCTATTTGGTATGAAGTGAAATCTGAGACAAATGGGAGACGTTCTCCTCCTGCAAACTTGGAAGTGTCTGTTGTTCTTAGCAAACACTATACTAAAGTCACAACATGGAGAATTCAGATGCCAAAGCCATATTGTTGGACTTCTTAGTGCTATAGCTGCTCTCTTGGAATGGTGATACCTGCATGTAGCCAATACATCACTCACCTTCGGCTGTTGGTTACGAATAATCAAATTATCACGCCATCTCCTGTTCATAGTTTTAATGTGTCAATTAATAGTAATTTCCTCTATGGGGGATTTCTGGGTGGGAGTCAAAATGGTTCTGGAACCCCCCCTCAAATTTCCCCATGGGTGCTTTTGTCCCTGTGATATCAGATGCATTTGTCTGATGTTGATTCTGGATTTGCTCTTTTTCAGACCCTACTCTGAAAGATGACTTTCGGCTGCGGACCCTGTGGCCCCTGTGGCTTCACCTGCGACTCCCAGTGCCCCCCACACCACGTGTGGATCCGGTCACCTCCCTTCTGCATCACCATCCCGGGACCCATCATGAGCGCCTCCAATAACGACGCATGCGCCGTGTCCGTCGATGCCCCCTGTGGCTACGGTTGTGGAGGAGGCTATGGTGGCTGGGGTGGACGTGGCGGCTATGGAGGATGGGGATGGGGTGGCTGTGGTGGCTTTGGTGGCTTTGGAGGCTGTGGAGGCCGCGGATGGTGTTGATCACAGCATGCTGTGAGAAAGCTGCCTGGTAATGGAAGGATTCACCCTGGACCACAGCTGAGCCCGCAATCGGGAATGCTGAGCCCCCAGCATCACAGCCAAAGACGTGCTTGTGAAGCTCAGGGTTTGACATTCCAGCCTCGCCTTTCTGTTTCATACTATTTCTCCTCATTTTGTTTTTTTGTCCTCTGACATTGCTAAGCTTAGCCCCAGCACACAGTGGACTTGGCTCTCAGTTTCATGGCATCATTTTGATATTCTTCAAGCAAAGTAGCAAAAGGAAGAATTTCCTACCCATCCTAGCCAAGAGGTTGACCACATAAATGAGGACAAAACTGTGTTTGCGATCTATTGGGTAAGGGGCCAGAAGCCTTGCAAAGCTGTTTCCTTGGTTTTGTTCTGTATCAATGTTTCATTACAAATGTACATTCCCTGTTTCCCTTCCCCATCTCAATAAAGCTTCTTCTGCATTCAGAAAAAAAGACTCCTGGTTTTGAATTGATGGTGATAACAAGCATTGCACAGAAAATATTGATACCTCAATATTGTCCCGGAAAGCATCACCAATTGGATTGAATGGACTGTTTTTAGTTTTTAAAAAATATCTGAAGCAAAGCCTCTGACCAATGATGCACCTCAGGAAACTTCAAAATGTCCATAGAATCAGGGAACAGTAGAGTTGGAAGCACATGCACCCTCCCCTCCCCATATTCATTCCATGTGATGGACGCATCTTCTTCCACTCGGTTTCAAGCCCTCAGCTTGAAGTCTTCCTTCTTTAGCACCACTCTGCATGTGGAACGGCATCACAGCGTTTACCAAGAGACAAGATTATGTCTTTCCTTCACATGGGCACCTGATGCCGTGACTGTTCTGCTACATGTTCTCAAGAACTGATTGAGTGGCCCTCCAAATGGTGCAGCTGTTGGCAAGTTGGGAGAGGATGATGGGGATCACTACTGGGCGGACTTGGTGAGCAAAGGGAGTCAGGCCAAAATATGTACGAAATGTTCGTATTTGGAGAAATATGGCTATGCACATGGCTATGCATGTTCATTGGTTGTTGTTAGTTGCAAAGTCGTGTCCAACCCATCGCGACCCCATGGACAACCTTCCTCCAGGCCTTCCTGTCCTCCACCATCCCCCGGAGTCCACCTAAGCTCACACCAACTGCTTCAGTGACCCCATCCAGCCACCTCATCCTCTGCTGTCCCCTCCTCCTTTTGCCATCTACTCTTCCCAGCATTAGGCTCTTCTCCAGGGAGTCCTTCCTTCTCATTAGGTGGCCAAAGTATTTGAGCTTCATCTTCAGCATCTGGCCTTCTAAGGAGCAGCCAGGGTTGATCTCCTCTAGGACTGACCTCCAGGCCTTCCTGTCCTCCACCATCCCCGGAGTCTAAGCTCACACCAACTGCTTCAGTGACCCCATCCAGCCACCTCATCCTCTGCCGCCCCCTTCTTCTTTTGCCGTCAATCGTTCCCAGCATCAGGGTCTTCTCCAGGGAGTTCTTCCTCCTCATTAGGGGGCCAAAGAATTTGAGTTTCATCTTCAGTATCTGATGCATGCTCATGCAACCTTTATAAAAAACTTCCTCAAAGTTTGTTCATTTATTTTTATTTATTTATTTTTCGATTTATATCCTGCCTTTTTCCTACAAAGGGCTCAAGGCAGCTTACATCATTCTCCTCCTCCATCTTATCCCCACAACAACAACCCTGTCAGGTAGGTTGGGACGAGAGTCTGTGACTGGCCCAAAGTCACCCAGGGGGCTTCATGGCTGAGTGGGGACTAGAACCCAGATCGTCTGAGTCCCAGTCCCATGCTCTTAAACACTACGCCACACTGGCTCTCAGAAAATGTTGTCCATGTTGTGGACAAACTCAGAAAATTTGAGAAGTAGCACATCCGTGGTTAGAAAAGATAAGATAGAAAAAGAAACTAAAATCAAGAGATCCATCCATCCCTTGATTGGATGAGATAACACTTCAGTATGATCTTCTTGAGATCTGAATGCTACCCCTGAGGCAGGCACATTTCAGCAATTTGCTTTACCTCTGCTGACACAACACAGTAAAATCCCAGGCAAAAGCTATGTCCTGAAGCTAGATGTGTGCTTCTCTCGATGACTCAACCAAGATAAAATTGACTGCATGTTCCTTGTTTTCCCCACCCCTTTCAAACCAGATGAATCTGCCTTCCTGTTGGTGTTTTGTCTCTCCCACTTCATCTTGACACCCGTAAGAACAACAACACCCTGAGGGTGTGGGTCCAAATTGCACAATTATCCCATCCCTGGCAAACCGAACCAGAAGAGCAGCTGCCACCCATTTGCTGTGCTGAGTAACACCCTGCAGGCGGATGTTCATGGTAGAGGAGAGAAGAGCCTCTGGCTGGAAGAGCAAGCGCACAAGACTGTCTTGCATGGTCTGCTGTCTCTGGCAAGGATGCTGGCAAAAATGTGGGACACGTATACACACCTCTGCCATCCCATTGGCAAAACACAGAGCTTATTGTGGGAAGTTGAAACTCTGGGCTCTGCTGCCTGCCATATCCTTGAATCCTTGCAAAATGGGGTCTTGGGGAAATCAAGCATGGCTTCCATCGGCCTTACAAGGGTGAAAAGCATAGAGCTGGGAGGGACTTGGAGATCCTGCGGTCCAATATGCTTTTCAGTGGGGGATTCCTGCAAATTCACCAAGCGCTTTTCCAGCTTTTCCTTAAACACCTCCAGCAAAGAAACCCTTCCACTTCCTGAGCCACCCCACACCTTCCACAACTGGGCATCTTTTAGGTGTAGGAAGCCTTTCCTGTAGCTGCAGCTGTTTGGCAAAGGTGGATGAATCAGTGCTCGGAAGGGTCTCCCTTACTGAAACGGGCAAAGATTGAGGCTGAGGAGAGAAGTATCACCTACACCAGGGGTCGGCAACCCGTGGCTCTGGAGCCACATGTGGCTCTTGAATGCTTCTGCTGTGACTCCGTCTCTCGCGTCACAGCAGCCGCCGATCCACGGCCGCTGCAGGCACAGCACTTGGATAAATTGAAGAAAAGTTTCTGAAGAAAACCAAACGTTTAATGATACTTGGGTAGATTCATTTGCTTTTACTGCTGACGAACTTATGGGGTTTGCTGTTTAATGCATGGATCCCTATGGGACTGACTTTGACTCTTCAGGAAGCTGTTCTCCTATTCAAAACATATGAAAGGAGTCCTACTAGTTTATAATGTAAGATTAAAAATAACAGTTTTTAGTGACTGAGCAAGAGCTGCAGCTAAATCATACTGAAGATATACATAGCATTAAGGTAAAAAATGAGATATGCATTGTTATCTTCGTTTTAGATGTCCAAAGGGTTTTGCAGCTCCCAGTGTTTCTTTTTGTGCGGGAAATGGGTCCAAATGGCTCCCTGAGTGTTAAAGGTTGCCGACCCCTGACCTACACGAATGGGAAGCAGGTTGGCAAAACTTTTTCTAAAAATTCTGACTTTTTACTGAAGCTTTCCTGCTGCTCCCTTTGAAAATTGATTCCCCCAAATCCTGCACGTTGTTCAATACACACATTTGTAAGCATGCATGGATAGAAGTGGCAATGTTTCAGCAGCATGATGGAACATGCACTGAGGTCCTGTAGGTGTGGAAAGGCAGGCAGGGAGTGAGAAGACTCCATACTGCAATGTGAGACACAATACAATGTGAGACACATGGAGCCAATGGGGTGACTGGGCCTGTCACAGACGCTCAGCCCAACCTACCTCACAGGGTTGTTGCTGTGGGGACAAGATGGAGGAGGAGAATGATGTCAGCTGCTTTGAGCCCTTGGTAGGAAAAAGGCAGGATATAAATCAAAAGATAAATAAGTTGAGTTAGGGAGGGATACATAAAATGAAGCTGGTTTGGGGAAATGTGAGAAGGCTGCTTCCTTTCCCATAATGCCAGGACCAGGGCCATCCAGTGCAGCTCAAGGGCAGAAAATTTAAGCAAAACTGGCATGGGCTTTCCCGACTGGAAGCCTTCTAGTTGGCTTGGACTAGGACCTTGCTAAACCTTGTTCTACCTCATTTCTCCAGAGATATGAAATCAGAACTGACACACAGTAGATGTGTGTGTACACACGAACACTCATAGGTTGAGAGATTTCTTCATCCAGACTTCGAAACTTAGCTTTCAAGAGTCTGGCCTTGTACCCTTTTACATGCTGCCGTGCTGAACTGGAGTGTGACCTGGTGCAGTCAGACGGGCAGAAAAGGCAAGGGGACTGTGGCTTAGTGCAGGAGGTCTCGCCTTCAATCCATGGCAGTTCCAGGTAGGACTGAACTATCCCTGCCTGGAATCTTGTACAGCGGTTGCTGTCAAGCAGTGCTGGCAACACTGGGCCACATGGAGTTTGCCTCAGTATGGGACAACTTCCTGCATCCCTAGACTGGGGTGAGGAACAAGGCACCAAACCACATGATCAAGGCACATTTAGGGATAATGGGGGGCAAACTGCAGAAGCCACAGAGGCTGCAGATCTTCTGGGCAGAAATTCCAGGCAGGAGGAGGAGGGGGGGGGGGCGTCCTTAGTCCCCTAAGGACTGAGCCGAGATGGAGATGGTCGAAAACTTTGTTTTCCAAGCTCTTGGATAAGGAGTTGCCACTGCTCACATCTCTATTCATATTCGGGTGGAACGAACTGGAAGGGCTCCTTGTTAAAGTGAATGTGGGAAAAATTGAAGCTGACATCTTCTTCCTTAGCATCCTGGGGCTTTGAGTACAGAGCTGATAAAAGCTTGATTTTGAACCTTCGCATGTACAGCCGTGTTTGCGGTGCCGAATTAGCGCTGCCACGTCTCCCCACCCCCTCGTGACTTCTTCATAGCTTTAACAACTGCATCAGACGAAAAGCACATGGCACCCTCCTTGCTGGAGACAGCTGCATCTATGGAATTAGGGTCAGTAGAGATGGATGAAAATACTATTTCAGTTGGTGGGTGATATGCCTTGGCCAAAATGTGCACTTTTTTTCATCTTTGTG